ATTTATTTAAACTGTTAACATATGTAACCCTGAGCTGTTTCCAGCTCCATACTTTTACAGTTCCTAGCACAATGGTGTCTCAATCTTATTTAGTCCCTGGCCTAAGGTACAAGCAGCACTGCATCTGCTACAAGCGCATCACAGATTCTCAGGCATGGACTGGTAGCCATTCCGATCCTGATCAGAGCTCCACCTTGAATACTGTGTTCAGTTTTGCACCCCTCACTAAAAGAAAGACATTGCATTGCTGGAACAGAGGAGAGCCACAAAGCTGGTGTGGGGTCTGGAGCACAAGTCTTATGAAGAGTGGATGAGGGAACTGAGATTGTTTAGTCTGGAGAAGAGGAGGCTGAGGGGAGACTTTATCACCCTCTACAACTACCTGAAAAGAGGCTGTAGCAAGGGGGGGGGAAGCCTCTTCTTCCTGGTAACAGGGACAAGGGGAAATGGTCTGAAGTTGCGCCAGGGCAGGTTTAGGCTAGACATTAGGAAAAATTTTTTCAATGAAAGGGTTGTCAAGCATTGGAACAGGCTGCCCAGGGAAGCGGTCAAGTCCCCATACCTGGAAGTATTTAAAAGACGAGTAGACGAGGTGCTTAAGGATATGGTTTAGTGGTGGGATGGCAGGGCTAGGTTAATGGTTGGATTTTATAATCTTAAAGGTCTTTTCCAACCTAAAGGATTCTATGATTCTATGATTTTCTGCAGCTTTCTGTGCACATGTCCTACCATTGTTAATTAAATCTAACCATCCCATTCCAAGACAGGTGAAGATAAAAAAAGATCACTTACAGCTGCATGTCTTCGACCTTCATTCCTGTCAGCTCCCAGCCATTCTAGAGCTCGTTTCACCTCAAACTCCACATACTCAGCTGTGAAGGTGTCACCAGCCATCGCAAGCCGCCCAATAGCCTTGGAAGCCATCTCCATTACAACAGGGTCATTGGATGGCAAGAGGTTCCTCAGGTAGTTGGCAAACCTGCCAATACGGGTGGCATTACCTCCTTCAACGCCAATAAGGCTTGCTGTAGAGAAAGGGACAAATGCTGTAGGTTATCCCTAGGAGTCAGTGAGGTAGACAGCAGGTAATCCCTGGATGAGAGTTAGTATTCCCTATTCATTCCCTAAAGATTCCCATTAACTACTCCTAAACTGAAAATCCACAGAAAAAAAAATAATCAAGCAATAGGAAAGGGCAACCATTCTTTCGAATCTGAACTTGTTAAGTGGGCAAGAAAATGCATCCAGCAGCTTCATAGATTTTCCCCATTTTTAGTTTAAATAGAAGAAAAAAAAATCCACCCTGGTATCACAGACCCATTCCCAATAGAAAGGCATCCATCCACATGCAACTACTACAGCTGGTCCACCTCAGTAGAGAAGTCAAAGACTGAAAGGACCAAGGAAATTGCTCTCCCCCTCAGCTCTCGAGACGGTCTCTCCCGGCCAGGGTGGAGGCACATTGGCAGGCAGAAGTGTGGCAGAAGCTTTCACTGCCGGTGCCTGGGTTGTACCTGCTCTGTAGATAGAGAGGCCATCAGTGTCCAGGGTTGTCAAGCCGGCACCTCTCAACAGCACTAAATTCACAGAAACAATTTTAAAGCGATACTGTCAGCTTAAAATCAGATGTTGTCAATAAAAATTTCTCTAGCTAAGGGACTTCCACTGTCTTCAAACATGTTGGGATTGGATGATTACATCTGTGAACCAAAACCATAAGCACCTCCTATTTGGTTGTTAAAGAATTAACTGCTACAACACAGGCTACTCGTTTAGAAGGCAAAGTATTTATGCAAGCTGATTTCCCTAAGAGTCAAGATGCAGGCAGCTCTGCCATGTCACAGCAAAAGCACAACCAGAGCAACTGATGGAGCAGCTGATTGGAATCAAAGCAGAAGCTACGTGAGCCCCTCTCAGGGATGGAAGCTGCTGTTATTGAGCCAGGTAAACTTAAATAACAAGAATCAATCTCAGACAGAAGAGAGTTGAGAAAGTCAGCCCACCTTGATACATATTGGGCAGCACAGACTGTTCTCAGCTGAGCTCAAGAACATAATTTTCACATGCTCAGCACTCACATTTGATGCTCAGCTCCTGGAAGAGCTCAGGGCCCATTAAGCACCAGGTTTTCAGCCACTCTCAGCACTCAGCTGCTCCCATGCTGACACTTACAGATAGATTTTCGGAGCCCAGCAACTAGCACACACCCAGCATACTGAGCAGCCAGACGTAAGGCCCCGATTATAAAAGCTCATTCCTTTTGAAAATCTGTCCCCAAAGACAGATGCATGAAGAGAAAACTCACCAGAGGCATTAAGCTCTTTCACTCACCTATAGCCAGAATACCACCCTTCCTTTCATTTGCATCAGAGCTAGAGACCAGCTCAAATATGTGATGGTTCAGCTGATCGTAAAACCTGGTAGATTCTTCCTGACTCATCTGTAAAAGCAAAAAGTTCAAATCAGCTTTCAGCATTCTTTCCTTCCTTCCTGCCCCCAAAACCTCCACGAAGACAATGCTTCTTAGGTCACTTAAACAGAAAGAAATTAAATCCACCATACATTACAAACACAAAACAGTATCTCTTCTTTGTGCCCTAGACATGTCAAGTTTATTTATTCTGGTGCTTGATTACCCATCTGTGTCACCAACTCACTCACCTCTCCTACATGCTGGGACAGAGGTAAGCTCCTTGCTATGCCCCACCTCATCTCTATGACCAGCTTCCCTATTCCAAAAGTCTCCATCCCCAGAATACCCAGCTCATGCCCTACACTCATATGAACAAGGATAAATTATCTCATTTGTAGCACTCACTTCGCGGAGCTCCATGGTGACATAATGCTGCAAGTCCTTGGCAGCTTTCGCCCTCGTCTCTTCACTGCGACTCTTCAAGCCATTGGCAAATTGCTGGAGAATGGACACAGTGCCCGACATGATGGCGGTATGTTGGGGCTCAGGGGCATCAAGTCCTGTAAATTCTTCAGAGAGACACTTTGTTTTACTGCTTTTAGCTATTGAAGTCTCTGAGCTTTTTTCTTAATGCTACCCCTGCTGCCTGTTTCCAAAACACACACCCCTTTGCATGCAAGGATGTTGTGCGCAGTAGAGCATAAAATTACAAGCAACAACTATATTCCTTAGGCCATACAACCCTGTGATAAAACTGTATCACCACATAATATCTTGACCCCCAGCCTATTTGCTCTCCAGTTCCTCAAATACCAAAATATGCTACAGTAGGTCAGGTGCCTGACCCCACAGTGATCTAATTCTAAACCAAGGATCATGCAATAGCTGAAAAATAGCAAGGTCAGATTAGGGTTTACAATTACCCTATAATAAGTAGGCACGATCATTCCCATGGTTGTATCATTATCATATCTGACTCCTCCTTGAACACTTCCATCCAAGTTTCTCCACAGAAATTTTAGCATTATGCCAACACAAGGAAGACTCGGCACTCAGGGCCTGGCAATTGTTACATTCTTCAGTAGATATTTAGAGATGGGAAGCCTACTTATAGCAACACTGATCATTGAAACAGGATGTTTACTATCATAGCATATAACCAAACTTTCTCATGAGTCTTTTATGTGGAAAATACTTCACAGTTTTGAACCCCTCGATTTTCAGATTACATAAGCCCAAACTGAACACTTGACAGAAGGGCCCACAGCGACAGAAGGCACCAAACCTTCAACCCCTTCTTCCCCAAATATCCCCCACGCGGTCACAGAGATCCACGGAGATTACAGCGTGAGGTGGCTTCAGGGCTTCCCCGCGGCCGGGAGCCAGGACGAATCTCCCCCGGACGAAAAGAGCAGGCTACGGCCCCACCACGGCCGGCCGGGGTGCCCCTGCGCGGGGACTCCCTCGCAGCCGCGCCCGCAGAGGGAGGCGAC